TGTGTGTGTGTGTGTGTGTGTGTGTGTGTGTGTGTGTGTGTGTGTGTGTGTGTGTGTGTGTGTGTGTGTGTGTGTGTGTAGCAGATTATATTACTATAGAGGTTTTGTGTGCAAAAGAGGTCTTCATCTCAGTGGGATGTCCTGCATAAATAATCCTTCACTAACTAACTATAAATGAGGTGGATTTTTATTCACCTCTTCAATATTATTAACCTCAATTTATGGCAAAAAGATCCATTTGTTTGTGTACATGGGCCCAAATTAGCCTGTGTTTATAACACAGTCAGCATAGCTTTGAGTCTTTCAACGGGAAGCATGTTTCCAGCCTGAAACATGTATGTTGTGTGGTCTTCATAGTTACCCTGGCAACTGAGAAAGTGGAGATTTGAAAAAGTGGCAATCATTTTTGGACCTTTCGTTGTTTATTTGAAATTATAATTAAGTACTATTTTTCTTTTGCAAATGTTTTATTGGGAAAATTTTAAAAACAAAAAAACAATCCTTGTAGTCCTAGCTGGTTCCCGTGAGCTGTGAAATGATTTAAGCCACTTCCAAAGAGGACTTTTAAAGGTGGGAAATCTTCAATTCAAGTTCATGGACATGAATGAATGAATAAAGCACTGATCTGATGCAAACTCATGCTCAGGTTAACAAAAATAAGGAGGTAAGATTCCCGTCCAGTAACATGAATCACACGTTCAGGCTATTTCACAAACTGCAGTGAGACTGTGTTGCATGAGAATATACTGCACTACATTTGCTTTAACAATATGTTCTTAATAAACTGGCATCTGACTGTAGTCTGAAACTGTTCTTTACAGTGTAGCGTGAACTGTATTGCATTATAGTACCACTACTAGTTAATAAGAAGAATTTATCTTTACCTTTGATTCGATTTTTTAATTCCATCATTTAATGATTTTTGTGCTTTTCTCTATGTTTTCCAAAAATAAATTGATTATTGGTAAGATTGAATGAATGTTTATTAAGATAAAACCAGCTTAAATATGCAAAACCTGGATCTTGTGACTCCCAATATTAGAAATTTCCTGATGCAGTAAACTGAAAGGATGAGTGGGAGATATGGAAAGCAGTAGTAAAGGTTGTAGTAAATTAGATTTTAGCATCTATGACATGAACTGTCCTGTTTATTTCTGATTATTATTACAGAAGAATAAATGTTGTTGTTTTTTTTACCTATGACATGTTTTTTTTCTAAATTTGTGAAAGTGTGTTAGGTTCACTGATATACTGATTGTGCTAAGCGCTGTTGCTAACTTTAAAGGTTGAACTTTTTAAGGCTTTTGCCTCCACTTGCTCTCCAAACTGTCAGAGTCAGGCCGGCTGTGTGTAATGGATGTAAGAAAAATCCTGACATCATTTGCAGGCCTGCTTTAAAAATGAATGCCTTCACATGGTCAGCTGAAAAATGTGTCTGCAGCTCTGATATGAGCACTTTGTCTTCACAGGTGCCCTCCTGTATATCCTGTCAGATGCCAGTGCTTCTCCAAAGATGAAATAGGCCAAACCTTTTGTGCCTTTTAAGTCGAGTCAGCAGAACTCCTTTTACAACCACGCCATCAGATATTTTCAGTCCTACCAATTTGCCAAGCAATGTTTTTCAAATAACGCTCTTGTGTCTGACACAATGGCTGAAAACACAGCAAGAGAGCAGCGTGAGATTAGCTAGATGGTGTGGAGATTGTAACGTGACATCTCCATCTCGTAGACCTGAGGACAGCTGTGGCCCATACAGGATGATAAATGGCCGTTTGTGCGTAGGTGGAGCAGCTGTCTGCAGAGTGCTCCGCCACACGTAGCTTTCCCTCTCGAAAATTGAGATGGGTTTCACTTACTGTATGTTCATTTGTTCTGCAACCTGGAACATATGGTGCCTGAGAGTGCAGCTTTTTTAATTTGGAGAGCGATGATAGGAGGTATTATGTTACTCAAATATTATGGCGTCTCAGAAGCAGTTCCACTCAACAGCAACGGCATTGCACTGATGAGATTTCACAAGATCTGCCAGTTCATGTGAGAAAATAATGACACTTCTGTTATGAGCTGGCAGCTTCATCTAATGCCTGATATGTTTACCTTCTGAATCCAGCCTATAACTTTTAAAGCTGTAGAGTCAACGTGGGCAAAGTATGAATTATATTTAGCTGCTTTGTAAAGAAATTTACATCATCATATCATCATCCTCCAACAGTTATTTCTGATCTGTTATCATAACTGTTTATCATTACAGACAAGCAAGCAAGAAACATGACTTGTCTTGTTTTTTAGCAAGGTAGAGTCATTCATTACCACCAGCATTACAAAATAATATTTGGATTTAAGAACGTCGCTGCAGCACAGTCATGGAAACCGTCTTGTCAGTGCTCTGTGCGTTGAATATTTAGCAAGTGACAAAAACACGACACTACAAGTTTTATAGTTTTATTCATGTTTACATTCACTGCTGCTGTCTTGAATTGTTGGCTCAGGGTTAGTGGAGCAGCTCTGGCTTTCTGAGAAGGAAATCCGAGGTTAAGGGCACCAGAGAGGTAAAAACTGACTTAATCTGGAAAGCACCAATATTCTGATATACTGCCAGATTTATATTTATTTCAGATTCTTGAAAGCTAAACAGTTTTTTCTAGCATTTGTTACGTGTGGTTATTTAATGACTCCTTTACGCTTACAACTGCTCGGATCAGCTGGTTGTTGTAATTGTGGCACTCCAAACACGTGTGGCCAAAAGGGAAGTTACAGATTGCCATTTGGTGGGCAAACTATGCAACATTAACAGTGATAAGATATGGTCCTTTTCCACTAGAACCTTCTCTGCTCGGCTCGGTTCGTTCCACCGATCGGCCAGTCAATAACATCACTCGATGGATCATGAGAGCGACTCCTTAAAACCGCCAAACCCGGCAATAAAGCAAATGCCTGCACACAAATCACGGGTAACCAAATCTGACAAACGCCATACACAGGTATACCATCACCTCCTCGTCCTCCATTGTTGTGTTGTGTTTGAGT